GAATATACGATAACATTTATTGCCCTTCAAGTATTAAAACTTTATAGATAAATATGTTTATGTTATTTTTATAGGTACTCAAAGACGTGATGGAACATTGCGCAATAATTGAAAAGATTTACTGAAATTGTTAATCTCCTGATTAAGTTTAACCGTTTAAGTGAGCCAGTTACGCAAGGGAAGATCAATCTACGTTAAATTTTGCTAAGTTTAATTTTTTACGTAATATTTCTTTAATAATTATGCAAGTTTAATAGATGAGTAAATTGTAAAATAATGAATAAAAAATTAGTTACGTTTTTTAATCGTCGTACCGGCTAGTCAAAGGTTTTTTTATTGTTAACCCGCTCTGTAATAATTGAGGTTTCAAAGTGAAATTAATTTAATAGTAAAAAAATGTAGATTGTGCGATATTTTTTTATTTATACTTTATTGCATTTACCTTAATCAAGGATTACAAAGAGCAAATTTAATGCCTTTAGGCATTCTCTCCCAGTCAACCCGGGGCGTGGAGATAAATTATTTGTGGTAGGTGCAATAAAAAAAGTTAAGAACGGCGAAAGAGTCATCGAAGAAACTAGTATTATGTGGTATATTGTGGTATATTCAAGAATCCAAGACGCTAACAGCGTCTTGGATGACTGAAAAGTGTTAAAGAATTTTTCAGTATTAATTGGAATCACTCGTTACATAGTTATAAATAAGATTTATATTTATTTACAAAACAATTTTTGTAAATAAATAAATATAAATTTTATTTATAAATTTACAAAAATCTGTAGGTATACAAATACGAGTTAGAAATAAATGTGTTTTTCATCGATAAACAAATATTACATTATGTGTTTTTGCATAATGTCACCACTGAAAATATTCTTGTAATGACTTAATAATTTTTAAAATATGAATCGAGATTTAAACTTTATGAAGGTGGAAAGAACAAATGTAATTATTAAAATACGCCACTATTCCACTATTAAGTCTTTTCATATTTTTTAAGAACATTATATACTTTAACGAAGCTAAAACTTGTAACAAAGTACATTATTAAATCAGATATGACTATGTATGCGGCACTGACAAATAAGTAACTTCTTATTTCTCCTTCCCTTACCCCACCTAGCAGGGGTTGCAGAATATGTGAATCATGTTACTTATTGTATTTGGATTGTAGGCTTTTTTACAACCGGCCGCCTGCCAAATTTCACCCCTCCCTGGAAATAAACACCCAAATCCGGTACAATTATCTATGTGTCACAGAAATATTTGTTCCGTGTATCAACCCCCGACATCCGGATCAAAAGCCACTAGGCTAGCAACTGCACTACCAACCAGGTCATCAATAAATAATTAACTAAATAGACATAATGTAACAGCCCATATATTATGTCCCACTATTGGGCAAAGGCCTCCTCTGTACGGAAGATATGGTCACTCGCGACCGTACATCGCAGACTACTTACACATTTCTTCGATATTTTTTAATCATCATCATCATCATCATTTCAGCCTGTTTGAGTCCACTGCTGACCATAGGCTTCCCCTGTACGATCCTGAGCCACCTGGATCCATCGACTTCACGCACACTTGCATAGGTCGTCACTCTATCTAGTGGGGGTTCGACCCACACTGCGATGGCCAGTACAAGGCTGCCACCCGAGAACCTTTCTTCCCCAACAGTTATCGGTTCTACGAGCTATATGGCCGACCCATCGCCACTTCAGCTTACTAACCTTCTGAGCTATGTCGGCTACTTTTGTTCTACTGCGGATGTCTTCATTGCGAACTCTATCACGCGAGAAATACCGAGTAACTATAGCCCGCTCCATAGCTCGCTGAGCGACTTTGAGCTTCCTCATACGGCCAGCAGTGAAGGACCACGTTTCATTTCCGTTTTCATCACTGGCAACACACATTGGTTGAAGACTTTAAGTCTTCAAACATCCAGGTATATCCGACGAGAAGATTTGCCGAAGTTTTCCGAACGTTGTCCAAGTTGGATTCGCCGATTGACCTCTGCGTCGAAGTTGGCCTTACCTAGCCGGACTAACTGTCCTAGGTATACGTACTTGTCAACAACTTCGAGGACAGTTGGAAAACAACATTCAGTAAAGGCGTGACATGGACATTAGACATGATCTTCGTCTTGTCCATGTTCATCTCAAGGCCCACCCGTTGAGACACACTAGGCCTACAGATTATTTAAAAAATATGTAGGTGTCTTCACGGTTTTTTTTTTCAACGATGAGCACTTGATAAATCAGCTTTTGAAATTGCTATTAACAATTTCACTGGTACCGTCACCGGGTTTTGAACGCGTGTTGTTAGATTGTATTTAATTGTGTCCTAAAAAAAATATTTATATTTAATTAAAAGAGCTTTTATTTGATATACTCGTACTATTTAGATATCGATTTCATATTGACATATACACATCAAGTCACATATTATTATAGCATAGGTTAATAGAGTTAATAAAAACAAGAATGTTTAATCAGTCACCGAACTCCCAAGTGACTACAATTTATTGCTCGAACAAAATACAATTTAGTGGAAAAAGTTTCATGTATTTTTTTATGTATTTATATTTCTTGTATTTATATTATTTCAGTTTACAATATATTTGTAAATACAACATAATTACAGGATATAATGACCATTAAGATTTTTCACAGCAATTTAAACAAGAATATGTGTGCCATGGGAAAAGGATGATTCCAGATAACTTCAATTTACTGGTATCCTGCCAGGACTCGTATCGTCTTAAGATAGGGTATAGAGTTCTTATGTACCAAAAGGTTTCTCTACATTTAACAAATTAAAAAATGCAAAAAAAGTAAAAAAAAATTTAATACAAGATCTTAAATACAAATAGCTTTAAATAGTTGTAATTTGTTGTAATAGTTGTGTAGTGTAATTTACGGTGGTAGGGCCACGCAGCAGCCTCGGCTGTTGCACGAGTGGGCAGGCCCGTTCGGGTAAGTACCACGACCTCACAGAAGACCAGCGTAAAGTGGAAGTATGACAAATACTTTCGCGTTTCGTCTCGTTTCGCGAGTGAGGTAGCCGGAGCCCAATTTTCAAAAGGTTGTCAACGCCTCAGTAACCCTCGGGTGTGGCGTCCAGATGTCCATGGGTGGCGGTATTCACTTACCATCAGGTGAACCGTCTGCTCGTTTGGCAACTTTTCACATAAAAAAAAATAGTAAGAAGGAATTTGAGGCAACAAAATGAATGAATAAAAAAAATAAGTCCCTTAGGCGTTGATCATATTTTTAAAATATTTGCGTATTAAAGGCTTTGAGTGAACTTTAAATACATGTAATAGTACGAATTGAGCATTAGTTAGAAAAATGGCATAGTTAGCCGGAAGGCTTTAAAGATTAAGTTCAGATTTGCGTTAACATAATGGGCGCAATCTATCCATTATGTTAACGCAAATTTAAGATTCCAAATTAAGACCGACTGAGATGCCTTATGACTTTAATTTACTTGTATTCATTACTGTAGATAGCACATTTACATCAATTATGTAGGGACCGTTGTTATAAGTATAATTGTATTCTGAGACCAGTGGGGTTGGTTAAAAGTGGGTGAAAAGGTCAGCAGCTTATTTATAAATAGGTGACTGGCTTTCGATTCGAGTCCTATCGTACCCCACGATATATCACGATTGACCTACTTTTTGTTTTGTACAACTTGTTTGTTATAATTATGCTTCGACTATTATGTTTAATGCCTTTCAACTTTGATAATCACTTACTTTGTATTGATATCAAGTACGTTTTGAGTGAAATCAACCGGATGTGTGTGATCTATTAATTTGTGAATTAAGGATATTGTATATTTTTTAAATATAAGCCAATTTTGTTTGACTGTTTAAACAATCTGTTTAGTCTTGATGCTGTTGAGACTTTTCATTTTAATCCCGTTACTATTTAATGTATTTTACCGCATAAAACTGACATTTAAACTTCTAATGCTTACTATTTTATAATGCTCAAAAGCAATTATTTTTGTAAAAATTTGAATATAATATAATTCATGAACTTACAAGTTATATTAACAATGATAAGATCATAAGATCATAAGAATAACAATTACAAATATACTTGAATCATTACTTATTTCTTAACGACTGACTTTTTGACCCAGTTCGACGACGGCGCCATCTTTCGATTATACGTAAGCGATGTCAACTGCGCAGGATACAGTCGTCAAAAGGAATTACCCGTGCCTAATTGCAGCTCTACGCAATAATATACAGAGTTGGCAAGTTATCAATCTTGCATTCAGTCCAATTCAAATTTGACCGTTACACAAATTTAACCATAAAGCTGTTACTCTGTATAACATGCACTACGCTGGAACGGTCATTTTTGGGATATTTTTACTATATGTGTCCGATATGTTCGAATGTATCCGATAATCCGATGAAATAAATACGACATTCAAATATTTATTTAATATTCCGACGCGATTACTTATACGTACTCATTTTTTTAACAATAGGTTTTGAAATCTTGATTCGATTATAACACTACTCATCGTTATTCAATTTGAATTTATTCATCTGAATTAGGTTAGAAAATGTTGATAAATAAAATCTTAATATTATGTTATACATAAATTTTAAGTTTACTCCTAGTGATCTCGGACAGTGAGTATCATCTTACATGATTCATAATTTAAAATATGCACTTTTTAAGATGCTCTCCTCTTAGCGCATGTTAAAACGTCCACAAGATGGCGAGTGATGCTTCAGGAGCGACAAAGAGCATCGTTAGCCTAACGCCTGTGTACGCTCCTCAGATTGACATAAATACATGTTAATGAATGAAACTACTATCCAAAAAATCAATTAACGCCATTAAAAATAAGCGGTTTTAAAAATACAAGCAAAACTAATGAAAAACATGCAACCAAGCTCGAGACATGGATTGTCTTACATCATCGACATATTACCGCGTATTTTATTTTATCCATGCACTAAGGCGAATATGAATGAAGTGGTCGTGGGGGGAGAGATTTTCAACGATGGCGATACGCGCTTGGCGTATGCATGTACAGAGGCATGTATGGAGGCGTCGTGGATAAAAAAGCGTGCAGATTCCCGCGGCCGGAGTCGACCGGGACGACTAGGGAGCCCCGGTGAGCGGGGTCGTCGAACGCGCCGCCGGGGCCGGGAGGGGCGGCCGTTTCGGCGGCGCGCTATCGATCGCTACGCGTACCTTCCTGCGGCCGCAGCAGAGCATCCTCCGAGCGCGCGACTGTCCGCCCGGCGAAGTCCTCAACCTGGCCAGTTTTCGCCACTGCATGGGGACCGGTTAGCGCGGCGGCTGCGGGGGCGGCCCCGGGGCCGGCTGTTCGCGCATCGCGGGCGCCTCGGACGCGGCCGGAGCGCGCGAGACACCCCTGCGGAGTGCCCGCTCAGCGCGCGCGCCTGCGCCCTGTCCCACCCGCCCCGCCGCCCGCCCTCTCGCAGCGCGATTAATAATTCCGGCTACGCTGCCGGTGCGTATGTGGGTTAGTTTTTTGGGCGATCGATCGTTCGGCTCGCGGCCCGCTTCCGCCGCTGCGACCGACTCGCCGGCCGCTCGTTAATCGCACCGACAACGGCGACGGCGGCCCGCGTCCGCTTCCGCCTACCACTTGGCGGGTCCGTTTCGACGGACGTCTGACCCATGTGAACAGGTGGCCAGTTACAATTAACCGTCGTTGGAAAACCTGAATTACGTTTTCTTTAAAAGGCTGTCGAATGACCGTACTGGTTGTTTTTAAACCTCTAAATTATACTGAATAAAAGTACCGACACCATTCACTCTCACCCGAGTTAATATGTAGGACGATAATGATACTGTCGAATGTTGGAAATACTTATGAAAAGATGACAATGTTGTTATTTATTTTATAACACTATTTTATTTTATAACACTATTGGTACATTTCTTTGTTTTAGACAATACTCAATACAATAAGTTACTCTACATGTCGGTGGTTGCAACTTCCCTCAGCCGCACAAAAGCCGGTCAAAACCGCATGTGGGAGGGTCGCAAACTTTACTTGGGTACTTAAAGACTCCGTAACTGTAACAAGGCCTAAAATTAATGGAATTTTCGCGAGCTTTTTGGCATTGAGGTCGCGTACTTAGCATAACTTCATAAATATGCCCGAATAACTAGCGTTTCTTGTATAAAATACAATTTTTGATACTTTTATTAGTGCTTCTGAACTAAATAAGTTATAAATTTTAAAGTTTTTTATAGTGCTAATCTCTGCACTTAAGATTGAACATTAAAACATGTAGAAAAAGTACGAAAAGATTGTCGCCGTTTAGCTCAGTGGCTAGAGCGTCAGGCCGCGAATGCCGAAGACGTGGGTTCGATTCCCACAGCGGCGACAATCTTTTCGTACTTTTTTCTACATGTTTTAATAAATAAGTTATTTTATAAGACGGAAAGCATTTTGCTGTCTGAAGGCTGATGTCGATGGAAGTATTAGTTAATTAGCTAATTCATTACATACTTTTGTACAATCTTTCATAACTCATTTTAACTGTGGTAGGGCCACGCAACAGTTTTCGCTGTCGTACGAACGGGCAGGTCCGTTCGGGTAATTACCACGACCTTGCCGAAGACCAGCGTAAATATGGAGTTTTGTAATTCTGCGTTTCATATGGTGAGTGAGGTAACCGGGGCCCCCTTTTTTAAAAGGTGTTACGAATGTCAATGGGAGTCACTTAATCATCAAGTGAATCGCCAGCTCGATTGCCACCTTCAAACGTAAAAAAAAATGTCATAAACGCGATAGTGATTTAACACTATGCAGTTAAATGAAAAAAGGTATTTGTACACCACCGGTTCAAAAATCCAAGTAATTACGATTATTACGACTTGAGTAAATAAAAAAGAAATCATGCGCAGTCATTTAATGACTGGATATATAAAAAAGTTAAAGAAACAAAAAAATTGTGATTATTTGTAATTTTAATTGTGAAATAAAATAATTTTTGTTGTACGTAAAAGCGACATTATATCGTAATAGCTCTAATTTAAATATCATTTGCTTTGTCCGAATAATCTCTGCTGGAAATCGACTACGTAATTACAGCCCGTAACATATACTTATACTTAACTTATACTTAACTTAATATCTAGTTATCAATCAAAGATATTACAACCTATCCAGAAATTAACGTCAAACCTTAATTCCATAAAAGTTTCTTCAGAATTTCAACTTTATTGTTCAACAGTTCCATCAAGCGACAACTTCCTAATTTCATAGGTTTCCCTCCTTTCGGTTATTAAGTAAAGAAAGAAAGCTAACTTGAAGTTCACAAATTTCTAAACATCATCGTGGTTTCTTTTTAACTTTAGTAGTGAGATAGATGCTTTCAATATTTGCTTCTATATATATACTTATTAGCTTTAGTAAAGAAGTCTGTACTCTTCAGCTCGTTTCTTAAGAGGGCTGATTCGGCCACGTTTGGGGGTGGAAATGTGAAAATATGTCTAACGTGACCACGTAATTTTAATGTATTAATAAAAGCGCGCTTTGCATGTCGATAACATCAACGTTGGGCGCTAATCGCCCCACGCACGCCTACTAATACATTTCAAGATTCCAATTCATTCAAAGGTTAATGTCACAAATTTAGTATTCGCATGCATGCACCGCATGTCTGCTGACCTGACCTGATTAAGCTTAAACTGAATGGCCGCCGTTAAAAATCGTTAACAGCGACGAAGGCACGAGATTGAAACTAAAATTTAAATTAAATTCTTACACAATTGTACTATAGCGGGTTGATATGGTTGTAAATTCGGCTTTAATGACGCCTGCTGTTTCAAATGTTTCGAAAAGTCTAAGTTTTAAAAATTAACCCTTATTTTCATCTGTCAAATAAATCACGAGACTATTTTATAAAAGCGTTAATACTGGGTGAGGAAGTGTTTTTTGTTTACGTAGTTGTTTAATCGTGTTGATGGCGATAGTCGTCTCATCATCAGAGAAATCGAGGATGTGTCGGTCTGAGTCATTAGCGGCGGAACGTACCTAGCGGTAAGAGTCTGTAGGCGGTGGCCTACAACTAACGGGTTGGCATGAGGGGCGGCGGAATCAAAGTAGCGGCGCGTCGCCGCCTTGATCGCCGATCGTGGACAGCCGTAAATCTATACGTAAGTCAATGTTGCGCATGTACCACAGGGCCCCTAGCTCTGCGCAAAAGTCGATTTTGAATAACCTGAGGTCGATGTATATTTCCATCGGAGCAATGTGTGGGAATAACGGACTAACGTACGTCATTATAGGGTCACATTATATAAGGTCACCTTGTTCCGAAGAGACATTTGTGACTATTTTTATTGATTAAAGAATATGGGCGGCGTGTACGAAGCCCACCCGATTCTTAACCTGCGTCACATCCTGGCTGAAGCTGATATTAGAGTCAAGGACGACACCTAATTATTTGACTTTATTTACCCATGGTATTGGACTACCCATGAGCTTAATCGAGCGGGGGATTGGGCACTTTTTTATGCAAAAAGTAGACGGTCGCGCTTTTGGCAGGATTGATCTCGATCCTTCATTGTCGGAACCCGTCACCGATGGTGGTGGCAGCGGCCTGGAGGCGTTTGTTAATAGTTTCGGGCTTTGCGCCTGGCGTATAGAGACCAGTGTCGTTAGCAAAGAAGTTCTACATCTTTGACACGCCGCATGTGGTTCGTGTAGAGCGTAAAAAGAACTTAGTCCTAACATCGACCCTTGAGTAAACTGACCATTTTTTTTTCTAACTCAAAACGGGACATTGGTTTACGATGAAAATAAACATAATTTTTTAATTTTCTTCATTCCTAAAAGATTAAGAATTAATAAATACAAAGAAAAAATCATCAGTTCACTACTTTATACTGAACAACATTATATATTAAAACAACATTGGTATGTTTTTAAATTTATTTATATTTGTCAGAGGAACAAATTGGTTTTAATAAAGAAAGTGACGTTTTTAAAGAAGAATAAAATTAGGCAGGTTTCTTTTAGGTTGTATGTAACCTTTGTTATCAGCATTGCCTTCAAAACTGGAGCTGTTCAATATCACCAGCACCACTATGGGAAACACTAGTGCGACACTTTTTGCATCTGACATCCGAAGGAGTGTTAAATTCCTTAATAAATGGATATTTTGTTTGTAGGTTGGCATTAAATGAACACTTGGGTTTCAAAACCAAACGATCAAAAACTTCAAATTATCTACAAAACTATTAAAGAACATGACACGAAAACATAAAGAATTCCGAATACATTAATACCTATTGAAAGAAACAAATGACAAGATTGACGAACAAATTGAAAGTAAAACATGCGGGGAATAACCGGGAATAACCGATCACGGTTCTGCGGTGCTCATGATCATGTCTAACGAGCGTGGTTTTAAAATTTCACGCGGTTTCGGAAAACGGGACAATTTTGCGTCCCGAGGATTTGTTTGGGGACAAAGGGACAGCTGCGCGAGAAAAGGGACAGTCCCGTTCAAAACGGGACGTATGGTCAGTTTACCCTTGAGGCACCTCACATCTAACGGGATGCATTGAAGAGCACACCTCCTCCACGCGATAGCGAAAGGTCCGGTCACTTAGGAAGTCTTTTAGTATGCATACAACGCGATCGGGCACTCCGTACTCGTGTAACTTGTATATGAGTCCGTTGTGCCAGACATTGTCGAAGGTCACCTCGAGGAAGAGTGCTCCAGTGTTGAGTCCGCGTTGGCCTTTGATTAATATTCGTTATATATGAGGCCTATTTGAAAAACAAAAAATTTATCTATTCTTAATAAATCAAATTGAATGCGCCAAATTCTACATGAATACTAAGATTAATTAATATCAGATAAACGGAAAACAGATAATATCAATAACCAACCGTTTAAAACGTATATTAACAAGTCACACGTGTCGTGAAAAAAAATAATTGCACAAAAATAAAATTTATACGGAAAAAAAGAATCTGCATAAAACATGGCCAGTTCTTAATTTCGAAATAGCGTGGTGTCCAACGCCTGGATTGATTAGGGCAATTTGGTAAAATATTTTTATTTTCATTTCTCCCTTTGGCGAGGACGTGACGAATGCGATTCACGCTAGCCCACTAACTTTTTTTAACATAGTTAACTTGTTTTTTGACGTAACTGTTCATACAAATCATTAACTTATTTATAATAAGCAAGAATATCATATAAATAATATTATTATTAATTATCGTATTCAGTAATACCAGGCTGTTAGGGACATACAATTTCATTGACTTAGAACGCGTACAAATTTGGACGTAAATATAAAAAAAATATGTTAAATTGCAACTTTAGATAATGATTCTTTAGTAGACATTTAAGTCTACTAAAGTATCATTACCTAACTAAGGCAACTATAGGTGGTAAGCTATAGTTGCGTAATAGTTATGAACTCAAAGGAATGAACAGTCATAGTACCTAAGTTACTAAGGCAACGCAATAAAACGAACGTTTCATTTT